GCCAATGTGCAAGTAGATAAATAGGTACTGCTCCGGCAGGAAGGTAAACGGCGTTTCCGTGCACTGCTCTGGTTCGCCAGAAGCGGCTTAGTCATGCTGGCCACATGACCCGGAAGCTGTACGCTGGCTCCCTCGGCCAGTAAAGCGAGCTGAGCGCCGCAACCCCAGAGTCAGCTACTACTGGACCTAATGGTCAGGAGTCCCTTTACCTTTACTTTACAGGGTTGGGCTGGTTTTCTTGGGAGAGAAGCTGTGGATGTTGCACACATATTTATTTCAATTCAATGGGACTCCAGTGCCTCAACTTGGAATGGGAGAGGAATCGGGGAGTGCTGGCATATAGTGCCACAAGTTAAGGCCTGTTTCTTTACCCCCCTCCCCCAATCTTGTTGGGGGATGGGCAGGTGGTTTATTGCTCGGAAGAAGCTTATAAGCTCCAGGGAGAGGGATGCCGAAGAATAGGATTGATTAATGTGACATATTTGAGTTTTCTTTCTACTACTGTCTCAACAGACAGTCAGAGAGATCAGCTTCACACACAGTAAATTAAATTTAAATTACACAGTCTTGGCGAGAAAATTGCTCAGTTAATCTAGCCTCCTGAAATGAAATTTTAGGGTTTTGCTTCCCCCCCGCTCCCCACATGAACTCCATCCTAATTTTTCACACCCTGTTGGTTTCTTCTAGAAATCCCATCAGTTTGGGTTATTTTCTTTTATTCTCCCTCTACCTCTCTCTCTCTCTCTCTCTCTCTCTCTTTAAAGCCAGGTATTCATTTTCAGCAAGTTTATCTTACGGCTTAGGAATGTAATATGCCTGGCCTCAAACAGGAAGAGGTAGCCAAAAAGATTTAAGCTGCTTCTCTCATTTTAAATATTTATTTTTGATGGAGAAGAAACATGTGGGGGTGGGGGGGAGGGGAGGAACCAGCAAAGAGAGGCCAGAAGCCTGCAGTATATACATATATAACATCAAAGTGGGGTTAATAATTTTTTTAAGCAATTGGCAGGTCGTAGGCACCACAAAATGCCCATTTAACAGAAGAACAACTGGTAATACCGAGGACCTTTCGGCCAGTCATTATCTCTCAGCCTGACCTATCTCACAAGGCCGTTGTGAGGTTAACACACGGTGCAGGAGGTTGCCATGTGTTGGAAAGGCAGCATATTAAATGTAATAAAATAAGTATTTTATTTATTTATTACATTTAATACCCCACTTTTCTCCCAAGGTGCTGTCCATACTTCTCCTCTTCCCCTCCTCCATTTCACCCTCACAACAACCCTGTGAGGTGGGTTCGTCTAAGAGTGAGAGACTGTCCCAAGGTCACCCAGTGAGCTGCCATGGCTGAGTGGGGATTTGGTCTCCCAGGTCCTAGTCCAAAACACGGCACCACAGTGGCTCTCAGCGTGGTTTAGTAAATGAATAATAATAAATAGTAAATAATTAGCCATAAATAAGATCAGTGGATAAATTGTTGCTGGCATCTGTTGGTCTCAAGAGGCAATGGAAGAGTGCAATATACTATGATGCTGCATGTTTTAGTTGGATCAGAGACTGGATTACATTAGATAATAATGATATTTTAGACTTAGAGGAATGGAACAACAGATATGGCTGGCATGGCTATCTAATTTACAGCAAAGTGGCGGTGCACAAAGAAGAAGAGTGCAACCTTTCGTGTTTGCCATTGTCGTGTCCAAGGATAAGTCTTGAAACTCTTACACTTGAGTAATGGCCAGATTCCAAGTCTGGAGTTCTGTGTTGTCTTCCAGCCTTTATTAAGCTTAATCTTCAAGAAAGCCAGAGAAATTTTGTCACTGAGAACTTCCTTGTTCCCTTCTCTATGTTCCACTGTTCAGCAGTGGAATGGTGGTGGACTCTCCTTCTTTGGAGGTTTTTAAGCAGAGGTCAGATGGCCATCTGTCATGGATTCTTTAGTTGAGATCTCTGCATTGCAGGGAGTTGGACCAGATGACCCTTGGAGTCCCTTGCGACTCTACGATTCTATTATTCTATGTCTCTGTGTTACAAATATGTGTTGTGCCTTATTCACACGTATATTACGTACCAAAAAAAAAGTCAGAATGCTTTAAATGGCCCTGTGCAGAAAGAAAGGAGACTGCAGTGAATGGAAATCAGCTTGGCACACAAGCCTTTCTTATTTAACTCTTTAAAAGAAAAATCCAAGAGGGTTTGATGCTAATGTGAAGATGGATTTGCCCAGTCACCCAAAAGGCACTCTAATCCAAGCATGTGTTGTTACGATTATTTCGCTCTGTATGTCATCTCATTACAAGCTGCTGGCAAAGACAGAGGTTCTCCTTTGCCTTTTAAATCCCCCTTTAATGAAAACTCAGAACAGCTGCCCAGCAAATTATGGGCGTTTATCATGGGTGCTACTAACAGCGACCAAAATTCATTTTTTTTGCCAAGCAGATTTTCCTTCCATCTTTCACCTATCAGTTTTGGGGGGGGTTTTAAAAGGAGGGTGGAGTGGAATTGAAGCGTGGGGGGACGACTGCTGTCAGCAACATTGACATTGCCGGCTGGAACATATTTTCTTCTAACTTAAAGTTAAAGAGGTGTCAGATCCATCCTTCACTTCTTTTGAATGCCATGCATGAATTAGAATCAGCAAAAAGACCAGGGAGGCAGAACATTAGGAGGAACATGGTGAGGGCTGTATGGGTGGCACTGTGGTCTAAACCACTGAGCCTCTTGGGCTTGTTGATCAGAAGGTTGGCGGTTTGAATCCCTGCGACGGGGTGAGCTTCCGTTGCTCTGTCCCAGCCAGTGTGAGAGTAGTGTGGTGTAGTGGTTAAGAGTGGTAGACTCGTAATCTGGGGAACCGGGTTCGTGTCTCCACTCCTCCACATGCAGCTGATAGGTGACCTTGGGCTAGTCACACTTCTTTGAAGTCTCTCAGCCCCACTCACCTCACAGAGTGTTTGTTGTGGGGGAGGAAGGGAAAGGAGAATGTTAGCTGCTTTGAGACTCCTTCGGGTAGTGATAAAGTGGGATATCAAATCCAAACTCTTCTTCTTCTTCTTCCTGCCAACCTAGCAGTTCAAAAGCACACCAGTGCAAGTAGATAAATCAGTACCACTGTGGCGGGAAGGTAAACATAGTTTCTGTGTGCTCTGGTTCCATCATGGCATCCCTTTATGCCAGAAGCGGTTCAGTCATGCTGGCCACATGACCCGGAAAGCTGTCTGTGGACAAACGCCAGCTTCCTTGGCCAGAAAAGCAAGATGAGCGGTGCACCCCATAGTCAGCTTTGACTGGACTTAACCGTCCAGGAGTCCTTTACGTTTACCTTTACCTAGTGGAGCAGCCTGCCTCAAGAGGTGGCAGGGTCTCTTTTGCCCAACAACCAGGTACAAACTCTTGTCTCTTGCTTCCCTCCATAGCCTGCCTTCCCTTTATTGTCTCTCCACCATCAAAATGTAAAGTACAAGTTCCTAGGGGCAAGGACCAATCTCTCCCCCACCACCTCCTTCTTCTTTTTTTGCTGGTTCCTCTGTAAAGTACCGCATACATTGAAGATGTGATGTAAACCACTATTCTCATCAAGATAATGTGTTTCTAGAGTTAGCAGCCTGGTCTGTGGTTGCTCAGCACTGTTTCCACATGCCGCCAAGCTGAGCCCCGGCTGCGAAAATGCATTAAGTCTGGATTCCCCGCTTCTGTGCGTGCACAATTGCACCTGCTTTTCTAATTGTTTGTCTTGGCTCAGAACCGAAGTGCCCTGCTAGGTTGTGAACTCCGAAGACCCCTTTCCAATGGTAGCTTTCCGTCGCCACTTGAGAATTTGCTTGCAGGATCCAGGAGGCAGCGCTGGTGACTTGGGCAGAAGGAGCCCAGGCAGTAGGTGGAGCCAGAACTGATGTTGTGTCAGATCCAAGTATTCTAGAACTTGTCTCCATCTGTCTGCTGAGTTCTGCAACACAGGGCCATGCAGAGACAAAGGAGCAGGGAGCTGGAGGCCAGGGTCACCCTGCCTGGTTGTGCATAAGATGCTAGGCAGTTAGAAGCTGTCTGAGGTCAGTGGGGCTCCATTTGCCCTAACCGATTAGCCACTACTGCCAGGGGGAGATCCTGCAGTGATGGTCATCTCTGATTCATCTCTGATGGTCATCTCCACCCCCATCGTTCTACCTGGACACTGAGGTCCAGCGCTGAGGGCCTTCTGGCATTTCCCTCACTGTAAGAAGCCAAGTTACAGGGGACCAGGCAGAGGGCCTTCTCGGTAGTGGCACCCGCCCTGTGGAACGCCCTCCCACCAGATTTCAAAGAGAAAAACAACTACCAGACTTTTAGAAGACCTCTGAAGGCAGCCCTGTTTAGGGAAGCTTTTAACGTTTGATGCGTTACTGTATTTTAATATTTTGCTGAAAGCCACCCAGAGTTCTTGGGAGCTTTGAGCCTTTGAGCCATTGAGCTTGTGGGTTGGCCAAGAAGAAATCAAAGCCCTCTGAGTCGCTGAGGTAGGAAGGCAAGCAGTTCCTTCCCCCAGCATCTTCCAGGTTGGGGCTAATAGAATCAGGTGAGAGAGGAAATACAGGTGAGATGTTTTGAGAACTGAATCTTTTCCCCAAAGGCGTGGAAAGGAGGAGGAAGAAACAGGCTTTTTAACTGTAGAGGAGTGGGTTGTCCAATCATTGGGAGAGGGGTGTGGGAAGAAGAGGGATGAAGTAGTGAAATGATGCTGAGGAGGAGCACCAAAATTGGAATACAAAGGATGTTGCAGACGGAGAGGTAAGAGAGCAGGACCTGTTGTCCCACTGGACCGCTGACATAATCCTTTGTTAACTCTCCAGTAAAAAAAGAAACTGACATCACCATCTAAAAACAACAGCCAAAAGCTTACCGAGTGTTGTGAGTCTCCTACGGTTGTGGATGCCTGCCTGTGCCTGCCAACCTGGGCAGTTTGACAGAGGTGAGCACCTAGTTGGACCGGTTTGATTAATTGAATGGGCTCTTTCTTTCCTTTGCAGACCACGGATGACATCCTGGTGGCCTCAGCCGAATGTCCCAGCGACGATGAGGACATTGATCCCTGTGAGCCGAGCTCAGGTGGGTTAGGTTAGTCAACTTTTTTTATTCCTTTCCTTTTGGTTTTGATTCTTTGCATGCAGCAGGGAGTAAAAGGTGCAACCTCTTTGCAGGAATGACAGAAGAGCAATCTCTCTTTCAACCTGCAGCGTTCTGATGGTGGTAGAGACAGAACTCAAGTCTCTTTCTAGCTCCAGAAGATACTGGATTTGAACCACCAGCATAGTCACATTCCTAGTTTAGAAGACAGAGGATATTTAAGGCTTTTTAATGTGGACAAGGAGCTTTATCATGGTTCCCTTATGTACTCGCTAAAAAGTGCTACTTAATTGCATTTGAAAATTGATTCCAGAAAAACACACCTTTATGATTACATTTTTTAATATATTTTTTTTGCTCCAAGCACCATGTTTATTAGGGGTTCTGTGGATGAGGGACCTTCATATATAAAAACAGAGATTTTGTAGGTAACTCCCAAACCACCTGCATTCAACTGAACGTACAACAGCCTGACAAATTGCCAGTGAAATTTCCAAGGATGAAACAGTTAAAAAACATATTGTGGCTGGTGTGGCTGCATTCTAAAACTCTAATAAGGAACACATTGCTCCTTTGTAGACACTAAGAGTTGCAGATTTCTTTGTATAGATGTCTGTATCTATGTTTGTGACTGTTTCGGCCCAAATTCAACTGTCAACTCAAACTCTTGGTATTCATTCTTTTTTACACCATCTTTGAAATGCATCCATTCACCCAACTCGTGTCAGAAGTTATTGCACTTGTTACAGAGATGAATCAGTGAAAAATCCACACCATTCTTGTCATCAGGTTGTGGGAAATAAGGTAGAGCAGCAGGACTTGTAGGGCAAGTTGAGGGATTTGGATATGATTCTCTGTGACCTTAACAGGAAAATGAGACATTTTTTCATGTTTTCTCATAACAGTGAAGACTAAAAACTTTATTGAGACTCCAGGGTCCTTTGGACACTACACATAGTAACACATGCTTTATGCTTTATACTGAGTCAGGTCATTGCTCTCACAACCCAAAATGAAGACATAAGTCAACAGATGTGGCTTAAGGGTCATAACATTATCTGGAGAAGGGGGCTGTCAGTGGCCACTAGCCACGATAGCTATACTCATGCAGAATCTACACACACATTTTTAAAAAGCTATGAAAATGCTTTTTTTATTCTTAAAAAAAGTTTTGGGGAAAAAAATTGAATTTGGCATAGCTCACTGTTGCCATCTAGTGTCACATTTGTATATTGCTCTTTACAACGCATTTAAAACGTCTTATTTGCAGCTGTATAGCTGAGTTTTCTGACTCCATGCTCAAAGGTAGTATGCCTCTGCCAGAAATGGCAGGGGGGAGAGTGCTGTTGTGCTCAGGTCCTCTGTGCGAGTTTCTCAAAGACATCTGCTTGGCCACTGAGAGAGCAGGTTGCTGGCTGGATGTGCCATTGGCCGGATCCATCAGGCTCTCCTGATGTTCTTGCACGATTCGTGCAAAAAAACAGGCTGCATCGCAATTGTTTGAGGGAAGAAAGAGGGAAGTGCAGGCCTATTGATGTGCTTTGGCCATGATAGTGGAATGGAATCTCCCGGCTGAATGGTGGCCTCACTCTGAATGCTATTGCTGGGAGGTGGAGAGGACAACAGCTATGGGGTGATATTGTCCTCAAGCCCTGCTTCCCAGGAGCATCTGACTGTAGGAACGGGATGCTGGTCCAGGAGAGCTCTTCCTCATATTCTTACCTTCCAAAGTGTAGTTCGGCAGGGCTTCTTTTTCCACCCTGCTTCTTAGCTGCGATATCACATTCTTTTGCAAACCTACCAAAAACGCATGTTTGTAAATATCTGTGATTGGCTGTCAATATGGTATGATGGCGATATTCCCTCAATATGATATGATGGCAATATTCCCTGCTAAGGGTGAATGTGATGATTCATGGCACTGCTTCAAACTCTAGTATTCAAAAATAGAAGCCCTAGTGGCAGTAAGATAAACACTGTGAGTTTGGGGTTCCACAGAACTCTTCCTCAGGCAAGAATTCAGCCAGAACAGGTCTGTGGAACCTGAAAACCAGTTGCCCTGATCCACTGACACAACTGACATAACAAAAGGAATAATTTGGCTTCTTGTTTGATCTTCTTTTGGAGTGACCAGGTATCATATCTTCCTTCCTACCTACCTTCCTTCCTTCCTTCCTTCCTTCCTTCCTTCCTTCCTTCCTTCCTTCCTCTCTTACTAAGGGACATTTGAACCCATGAAATTTACTGTAAAACCATGAGAGCTGGCAACATGTAATGGGTTTTTTTAATCCTTGTACTTTGGCTCTTCTGCTACATTTGTAGTATTTGGCTCTCCCCCAGCTTTGCACTGGCCACCACATCTATTTGTGACCAGACCTTTCTGCATCTGTTGCAGATGAATTGCCATTTCTTGAACAATAATTCTGAAGTTCTGACAATGCAAAAATTATTGATTTGGTTTTCTGTGTTGTTGTTGTTTTTTAAAAAGGAAGGTTCTATGACAAATCAATGTGGGCCACCTGTAAAACATACCAAATATTAATTAAGACTCACACAAAAATAATATGGAAACACCAATATTCTCCGATTCATACCCTTGGCTAGCAAGGAATCCCAGGGTGAATCTTAAGCTGCTCTCTAAATGCAACACACTTCTGCCCCTTTCTCAGCACACTGTGGCAGACCAGTCTATTATTTACCCATTTTGGAATTAACGCCTTATTTGTCAGTTGTAGTTGTGAGAACTCTTCTATTTGTGGGCTCATGCAGAAAAGAAGCAGTGCTCATTTCTCATCGATACTCAACCATTTCCTCAAGTACTGACAGTTTCCTCCCCAGAGTTAAAAGCCATCCTGAATCTTCTAGAAATACTGGCTTCCTCTTTTTTTGGGTAGCTTTAATGAGCTCAGGTTTTCTGCACAACTGAACCCTCAATGGTGTCTCGTAGGAGAGCGGGCTTAACAATGGATGAAGCAGATATTTCTGGTGTATACTCCCCAGAGCGCCTGAAAAGAACTTTAGCTCTGTTATTTCTCCATGAAGGGAATTCTAGACCTGGTACAAAGCAAATCATTCCTGTCTGTAGGCCCATGATTATGAGGAAATGGTTAGTGACTCACAAGATAATGTAGCCCGATTTTATGAGCCAGTGTCCTGGAAAGTCTGTAGGGCCCATTCTGCTGACATGGGAAGATACCTAGGACTCAATGTAGGAGAAAGCAGACCTTACATTTCTGAGACTCAGGGCAAAGGTGGGGAACCTTAGGACTCCCCCCAGAGCAACAACCTTCACCAGCCTTGCATTACAGCCGCCACAAGTGCTTTTGCCAGGCTGAAATGTGCCCTTTGAACTCTGTTAAGGCACCTTGCTTCCCTGATTGGAGGATACTGGGTGGGTTGGTGGGTGGAAACTATCCTACTGTACAAAGGTAGAATTTGCATTGAATTCAAGGTGAACTTCACTGCTGCCTGTCTGCGCTGGGCTGTCTGCGCTGCCTGTCTGCGCCTGGCCGGGAAGCCATGTTGTATCGCCAGCTCAGATTGCCTTGACTAGCTGAGAGGCAGGTGGTTTAAGGAAGCCCGCTTCTCAGCTGATCAAGACCCCCACCTCTGGCTCGCATGAGCCAAAGGCAGAGCAACGGCTTCTTTAAACTGCTCCGCTGCCTGCCACTCAGTTACCAAGCCCCCATACAGCCCCTGCTCATGGGGGCCAGAGTGGTCTGGGTGCTTAGCTTAGCTCTGTGAACTGGGCAAACCCACATACCACTCTGACTTGTGTGCACAGGAATGGTTGGGGGTAGGGCTGGGCAATTTCAGACATTGCGATATTTAGCTGCAGATATATCACGATGCTGAAAACGAGATGTCACCCAGTCCTGTTCCCTTTGGGGACTTTAAAAAGGCAAACATCCACACATTGAATCATGCCAGGAACAGACTGTCAGGCAGAGGTTGGCTTCAGTTTATTGGCCTTTGTTCAATTCATTGCTATGTGCACTAGGTGTGATTTGGTTAATTTCCTGACTTTGTTACAGGTTGCATCTTCCCAATCTTTAATTATCAGTGGGCAGGTGTTGTCTTGACAAGAATTCAAGGCATAACCAATGAAGTTTGTGCCTTTTTCCACATGCACTTGGGCCAGTGCACAACTCAGAGATGGGTTGCCTTAAGGCTGCATTCAGATGTGGGGTTTATTGTGGAAGCTGGTTTTAATGCTAGCACTTCCGACACAGTTTCTAATGTTCCAATGCAGAACACAGTGCATTACAGAACTGTGGCATTTTGGTTGGTATACCTCCACAACATGCTAAGCTTCAAACAGTGGGAAATAACTGCCCCAGATTTTGTCGCTTGAAATTGCATCACAGAGCTCCAGTGGTTCCAAGCTAGTGGTTGGTTTTGTTTTTTCTGGAAACAAAATGGAAATAAGCACTAAACTTCCATTAGATACCATTAGTTTTCCAAAAGTCATGGGAAAGATCACCTGAAATGCAAAAGGAAACAAGTAAGGAAACATGTTGAAGACAGAATAAAGTGGTGTCTGAATCTGTGTGCCATTGTCTCCACAGGATTTGCTAATAGCATGGACCCCCCCCCCACACACACAAACACCAGATTCTGCCTCTGGTTAGAGATATGAAGCACAGGGCACAAATATACACTCAGGGCCGGTCCTTTCATTAGGCAAAGTGAGACAACCGCTGCAGTCCACTGATGATTGGCAACAATGGCAGCCTCCTGGATGTTCCTTCTAAGCCCCCTGACTAGTCCTCTCCATATTCCTACATAGCCAGTCTTGGCTGCTCTACAAGCCTTCTGCCTCAGGTGCACTGGGGCATAATATCCTTTTCACACTCTAGAATTAGGATTCCACTGCAACTTCAAATGGCTTCCGTATATGGAATGGGGAAGAGCGCAATCTTGTTCTCTGCCTCAGGCAACAAAATGTCGGGGCCTGGCCCTTCGTCCCCTTGGTCCTACAGTAGCAAAAT